AGGTATGAGAAGGGTATATGACATTTACACCATTAGAACAAATATTCAGAGTTTTAAATCAATCTGGTCTTAAATAGAGGTGTGTGTGTATGTGTGTTTTGTCAGTGAACAATTTTTTGTGTTTGATTTTTCATTTCCAGGAATTGCCACAAGCAGTTTGTGAGATCCTGGGGCTTCAAGACAGTGAAATTACAACACCAGATTCAGACACTGGTGAAGATGAAAATGTTGGCCTGACGAGTCCTACATCTGCGTTTCAGAGTAACACCTTGCCTACACTTGCTGCAAGTGGAGCCAGAGATGAGAGCCCAACACAGATACCAGCATCCCCAAATGTCAACAGACTAACACCTTCATGATCATTCTTGTATTTTTTTTTTTTTGGAAGAGACACTTTGTTGCAACTCTTCCTCAAGTACTTGAATGTTGGAAATTTAAAATCTTGGTATTGATCATGCTTTAAAGTTTATGGAAACAAAATGTACTGATGTTCTTGCATTAAAGCTTTACAAAGATTTCAGCTAATTATTTTTGTAGTTACTTCTACCAAATAGCCTTTCCTTTTCAATAACATTCCTTAGTATTTTTTATAGCCAAGTAAATTTTATTTTCTTGCTGAAGAACTGGATAAATATTACAAGTGGATGCGTTGGAAATTATGCACTTTGAGAACATTCACTTTGTTTACTCTTAAGTTTTGTGGGCTTGGTATTTTGACTAAATTAAATGTTTAGGCTTTCTTTGGCATAAAGCTGAGATGTAGATTGTTACCCAGTGATGAAATTTTTTAAAAGTGGATTTTTCCCCTATTGTTTACAATACTCAAAGATTTATACTGGTTGAATGTGATTTAAATTGAACATTTCCATCAGTGGAGTTTAATGTGTAGATAAAGAACTATTTCAACCATAGTAAGTGGATTGGCAGTATATTTTTTACATTTAACTTTTCTTGTATATAAAAATTATCTGTAAGTACTATTTATGAGGATAAGAAAGGATAGGCATATTTTCTTTAACTGAATAAACTTGACTATTCATTTATATAACCCAATTTGATGAAACTAATACATAGCTTCAATATGAGATCTTTTTCAAAACTATTTTCTTAACTGTTTATTTCATGAGATTACGTTCAGCCTAGCAACTGGTATAATTTTAAAGTAATTGCTTGTAACTTCACTTTAATAATGTTAACTATCTTTCCTAATAACGTATTAACTGATTAATCAGGTATTTAAATTTTTATAAAGTATTCTTTGCAAAAAGCGTATGTCAAAAATTTCAAGATATTATCATGAGTCTCAAAATACTTTTTGTATATGAATGAAGCTGTTGTTTTTACCATGCAGTATTGCATGATTTTAAGTTATGTGTAATTAACATAACTGATTCCGTTTTAATTGTAATTTGTTAACTCCTGTACATATCATTAAAATAAATTTGAAGTTGAAGTACTGTTTTCAGTTAAATCACACTTAGAAATAGCCTGCAAAGTGTTCATTAGGAGGAAAAAAAACCCACGATGGATCTCAGTGCATCTCTTGTTTTTATGTTATTAAAATAATCATGCGAATTAGTTATAGAAATGGCCCCTTTTGTACCCCCCAGTTTTTTTTTGTTTATCAGCTTGACAGTAGACTTAGTCTTGCCTTGGAGAATATAATTATCTGCCTTGATAAAGCAACATGCTAAACCTGATGCTGGAAATGTAGAGTGCAAGTTTGTACAGTTCTAAAATTTCCCTCCCAGAAAGTTAGAAAGTTTCCCCAAAGTGGATTTTTCTCCTAGTTGAGTATTAACTGAAAATCATGACAATGGAACCATTAGGTTTTAGTTTTTAATATATGCGTTATCTTTCATCAGTTAATAATGAGTAAGCCTGTTCAGAAAAAAGAGGACACTGATCAAAAGCTCAGCGTCTCCAGCTTTTCATTTCCTCCTCAGGAAATTGCTTAGAACATCTTGATGTCCTCCTTGTTCATCCTGGACGGTGGCTTTTTGGATTTTTTTTTCCTACTGTGTAATGTGATATCTGCTTAGATTTTTTTTTTTAAATCTTAATACATTTAGTAAGTTGAACTTCTGTCAAGTTTTCTTATAAAACTACTTGTTAAGACAATTTTTATTAAACTACATTTTTATGTAGCACATTTTTGATATAGAAGTGATAAAACTATAGCATAGTGCTGAAATCTTCAGTTCACAAGGTCTAGTTGGCAAGTACTGTGTAATCTTGAGCTGGTAAGATTGCTAAAATACATAATTCAGGTAAATTTCTTAATGTAATATTTTAAAGGTTTATTTCAGATTTCACAGGAAGCTCTGTGTATCCTTATAAAATATTGTGTGCTGGCTTATATGATATTTAAAATTGCTAAAATTCAGGTAGTTTCTAATTTCCACTGTTAAAGGTAGTATATTTTCAATTCTGGTATGAGTTAGTGGGAAACATTTTTGCATTTAAGAACCTCCCCAGTTTGTTCATTTCACATGTGTACATTTTCTTCATATATTAGGAATTTTAGTCTTGGTGATGAAAACTTTTTTGAACAGTAAGGAAAACAACCTTTTAGGATAGATCATGATTCTTACTGAGCATGAAATTGCCAAGAGTTTTTAATAGATGCCAACTAATTCATATGGGGATCTCACATGATTATGCCCATTAGTAAAGATAGTTTGCATAAAATAATGCAAATTGTTTATTCAAGAACCTAAAACTTCACCTGAATCATGTGCAGCTGTGTCCCAGGGTAACGTAGGGCATCTTAGGGTTTTCAGAAGATGCACAAACCTCTTACTGAATGCTTTGTCTTATGCATGTATATACATGTGTTTTGGAAAGAGATCAGTTTGTCAAAGCATTCTCTGATTTTCTTCAAACACTGAGAACCATTGTAATAAATTAACATTAGAACAGTAGCGTAATCTATGACATGCCAACGATTTTATTTGCTGAATCATGAGTAACATTCTCAGGAGAGCTTATTTCCAGATCTTTGGTGTGTGATATCAAAATACTTGTCCATGTTGTACTTTAGACCTTCTGAATCAGAATCTTTGGAAGTAAGATCAAGAAACCTGCATTATAACAGAGCTCCAGATGACTTCCTGAGCCCTTCTGAAGTTAGAGTTTATATTGCGCTTTACATGTTAATATTTTGACTTAGGGTCAGGTAGACAAGTCCCTAGGTTTTTTTGAAAGAAAGTCCTTCATTTTCCAAGGTGAATTTGCTCTAGTCTTGGTTGCTGTTTTTAGAAAAATTGATGATGGTGGTCATGATGTATTTTAGGTAGGTTTCCCCTCAATTCTTAGATTTTAAGTAAAATCTAATGGATTTACAATTACTATATTTTAAAGAAAAACATTCAGTTTTTCAACTTCTGAAAATGAACAGTTATTTAAAATGAATGTACCAGGTTTCCTTCAGTATTTAATATTATTACCATATATTAACTGTTGTACTTATTTGTGGTTTTGGTGTGAATATGCGGCTGTTTGGCTGATGTAACATTATTTGGCTTGTTCTCTCCTCTTATAGTCTGGGGATATTACATTGTAGATCGAATCTCTCTATATTAAAAAATGTAAACATTTTCTTAATTTGAGAGAGCTTCTATCTGCTGATTCATTCTCACAGTGCCTGCAGTGGTCCTGGCTGGCCCTGGAGCAGAGTCAGGAGCCAGGAACTCAATCCAGTTCTCCCATGTGGGTGCCAGGCATGAGCTGCTTCAGCCATCACTGCTTCCTCTCAGACTGCACTGGCCAGAAACTGATGCTTAGAATGGAACCCAGACACTCTGATAATAGGATTTGGTGTCAGCTGCTGGACCAGACACTTGCTGCTAAGTTGTAGATTTTTGAGGGTTGTTCTAATTGCAAATGTTTTCCTCACTGTTTTGTTGTAAATGCCTATTTCTTTAGGTTGTTTGTCTTGGCAGCAAAAGACATCATGTTGCCCTTAGAGGCAAAGATTGAGGTGGTGGATACTTCTGCAACTCTTAGATATTGAAAGCATCTCTTTCAGCCCATGAGAAATTACAGCTCATGAATACAATGTAAAGAAATGATTATAATCAAAAGTCTTTTCTAAGAGCTATCAGGAATCAAGCATTTCATATTCACCTAATGTGATTCAGTCCCTACAGATAAAATTGGAATGTTAGAATAATGGGGAATTAGCTATTAAATAACACCCCTCCCCTTCAAATATATTTCTCCTCACAGAATGAAGAGAACAGGTTCTAGTTAGCCTTCTTGTAATCAATGAACAGTCTAGTCTGGTTCAGCATTTTTAATGAAAAAGATTTTTAACCTTGGAGGTGGACTTGGGCTGTGATGGTAGAATCTAGCATCATGCTACTCTGATTAGAGGCTTAAGATCTAGTGGGTTAGTATATGGTCTGAAGAGTAGAAATAGGGCTGTTTTTAAACTGCTTTGTGTGATGTCTGACCTGATTTTACAGAGACTAAACACTGTTCCATGGGTCACAAAGTCCAGATGAGTAGCCATCAAGGAACTTCTGAGTGCTTAGCATTTACACTGTATGTGGCAGTCACCACTAGATGCGCAAATATGGAGTACATACTCAAAGACGTCTTGGCTACCTGCTTTCTGTTAGCTGAGTTATATGAGTTCAATGTCCTTGCTAATTCGAGGTTCCCTGGCAGTTAGCATCTGACCCATATAGGTAGTTAGATTAATTTTTTTTTTTGACAGGCAGAGTTAGAGAGAGAAAGGTCTTCCTTTACCGTTGGTTCACCCCACAATGGCCGCTGCAACCGGCGCGCTGCACTAATCTGAAGCCAGGAGCTTCTCCTGGTCTCCCATGTGGGTGCAGGGCCCAAGGACTTTGGCCATCCTCCACTGTCTTCCTGGATCACAGCAGAGAGCTGGACTGGAAGAGGAGCAACCGGGACAGAATCCGGCACCTCGACTGGGACTAGAACCCGGGGTACCAGCGCCACAGGCAGAGGATTAGCCTAGTGAGCCACGGCGCTGGCCATTAGATTAAGTTTTCAGGGTGAGATTACTTAAGTATTTTTACCTTTTGTACTTTTTTTTTTTTTTTAACAGGCGGAGTGGATAGTGAGAGAAAGGTCTTCCTTTTTGCCATTGGTTCACCCTCCAATGGCCGCCGCGGCCGGCGCACTGCGGCCAGTGCATCGCGCTGATCCAAAGCTGGGAGCCAGGTGCTTCTCCTGGTCTCCCATGGGGTGCAGGGCCCAAGCACCTGGGCCATCCTCCACTGCACTCCCGGGCCACAGCAGAGAGCTGGCCTGGAAGAGGGGCAACCGGGACAGAAACCAGCGCCCCAACCGGGACTAGAACCCGGTGTGCCGGCGCCGCAAGGCGGAGGATTAGCCTAGTGAGCCGCGGTGCTGGCCCCTTTTGTACTCATAATAGAAATGTTATAAACAAATAGATGCTCCTTATCTATTCCTTTCTCCCCTGGAAAGGACAAAGTCCAAGTTAATTGTGCATGTGTCAGGGTATAAAGTAAAGTCTAAAAACGAAATTTAATAAACTTCTGCATACATTTAGGACAGATATTCTCTTGGTTAACTGAGCTTTTCAGAATTTTGCATGAAAGTGGATTTCCCAAAGGAGAAGGATCTCAGTCTTAGAGTTCTCACTAGCTTCCTTCACATCCTATTAACAATGTTTTCCAAACTAGCCTTTAAACTTTGTTTTGTATGAACAGGGTCAAAGGTTTATTGACTGGTCTAAGTAGAGGGGGAAAGAGTTCTCTTCACTGATGTTTCATGAGGAGAAGTGCTTCAGAAACTGCAACTTAGAGAATATGTGGGTTGAGTCTCAGGAAGACTGTCTCCTGCATGGTAAGGAACTTAAAGATAGTCCTGGAGGCACCACTCCTGACAAGTAAGATTTTTTTTCCTAATTCATCCCCTTCGATTTTAACAGGACTGCAACTGAATCGTTTCAGACATGAGCACCCAAGCAAAGTACTTGTAGAAGAGGTTAGTTTACCAAATGAATTCCCACTTTTACTGGTCACTCGATTTTGTGATATTTTTCATGTGACTGTATTTTCCAATTTTCTCTTCAACTCTGCAGTTCAGAATTAGACATGAAAAGGTAAATTTAGATGAGTGGGAGTTTGTTCTGTGAGAGGGCTTGGCTCATTATAAACGTTTCATTTGATAGCTTCACCAAATGTGGAGTGAATTTGTGAGAGTCCTGGCCTTGATCCAGGTTCCCTCATATTTTAATCTCTTTCCTAAATTTTTCTTAAGGACTCATTGAGAATATCACCATGGAGTAAAAAGAATAGAGTCTGTTGTTAATTCTGTTTTTAGAAACCTTATGTGTTTTATTTCCATTTTTTCTTATATATCTGCTGTCACTGATGCAAAGCTTATTTATCACAATTGCATTTAATATGTATGTGAACACAAATGTGAGTTGTGTTGATGCGTGATACTTCTGGGCAAATAGTACAATTTGCTTTAGGCACTTATGGAGTTCAAAGATTCAGAGTGGGTGTGGATGCATCATATGAGGTGCATTATATTCTTACAAAGGATGTAAAATTTATCCTATATACTTTGGGCATCACATGTTAAACAGATTAAATTTACTAGAAAATGTCCATGGTACTTAGAAATGTGAAGCAGAAGAGGTAAACTATTTGGTTAGAACACAAGTTTGGAGTAGTCGTGGACTGGGGACCTAGCTCAAGTTTAGTTTTGTGGTGAAAACCTCAGCTCTTGCTGTCTCATTTTTGCAAGTGAGGATGGTGCATGCTCCAATTTGGAGGAGTGAATGGAGTACATATAAAATACTTAATGTGATTCCTGGCAGGATGAAGCATTATAAATGCTCTCATTATTATCTGATGGCAACCAAATAGATACTGCCACAGGCCATCTTTTTAAACTGTATTGGTTGATTTTTACTTTTAAAGCACTATTCTGCAGATAAAACTTTAGGACGGGCATCATTTGATTTGTTTTCCTACCCATTGATCATTTTGTTTTCAAATATGAACATGTATCTGGTAACATGTAAAGGTCATCTGGACCCTTATATCACTGACCCCAACATAAATCACTGTCTTCCTTTTTCAGTTTTATTTTCTTCATATTGGGCTTAAAAGTTTTTTTGTCCATTCTTCCTTTGTGAATTAAAAACAAAAACAAAAACCTAAGGACTGTAGCCAGAGCAATTAGGCAAGAGAAAGAAAGGGCATCCTGTTTGGAAAGGAGGAAGTCAAATTGTCACTGAGAATGACATGATTTCATATTTAAAGAACTCCAAAGACTGCACCAAAAAATATTAGAATAAGTGAGTTCAGCGAAGTTGCAGGATACAGAGTAAATCTACAAAAATCAGTGTTATTAAAAATTGATAGTGATTTATCTGAAAAAGTCAAGAAAGTAATCCTATTTCCAATCACAAAAAATAAAATATCTTTTTTTTTTTTTTTGACAGAGTGGACAGTGAGAGAGAGAGACAGAGAGAAAGGTCTTCCTTTTTGCCGTTGGTTCACCCTCCAATGGCCGCCGTGGCCGGTGTGCTGCGGCCCGTGCACCGCACTGAGCCGATGGCAGGAGCCAGGTACTTATCCTGGTCTCCCACGGGGCGCAGGGCCCAAGGACTTGGGCCATCCTCCACTGCACTCCCGGGCCACAGCAGAGAGCTGGCCTGGAAGATTGGCAACCGGGACAGAATATGGCGCCCCGACTGGGACTAGAACCCGGTGTGCCAGTGCCGCAAGGCGGAGGATTAGCCTAGTGAGCCGTGGCGCCGGCCTAAAAAAAATAAAATATCTTGAAATAAATTTAACCAAAAAGGTGAAAGATCTCTCCAATTAAAAGTATAAAACATTGATGAAACAGAAGAAAACAAAGAGAAATAAATCTCGTGTTTATATATTGAAAACATCTGAATGAATCATTAATGTACAGACTGTTCGAAGCAAGGTATGAATTCAGTATAATCCCTATTAAAATTCCATTGATGTTTTTCAAGGAACTAGAAAAAGCACCACTAAAATTTGTATGGAATCACAAAAGACCCTAAATAGCAAAGCAACTGAGCAAAAAGAATAAAATAGGAGACATTATTCTACCTGGTTTAAAACAATTCAAAATTACAGTAATTCAAACACTATGATGTTGGCATAAAATAAACAGACCAATAGAACAGACAGAGCCTAGAAGTAAACTAAACATGTTCAACTGATCTTGGACAAAGGTATTAAAAAATGCCGACTGGACAAATCTTTTCAATAAATGGTGCTGGGAAAATTGGATATCCACGTGCAGAAAATGAAACTGCCCCTACTCTCACCATGGGCAAAAATGAAATATCTGAAGCTGTAGAACTACTAGAATAAATTATAGGAGAAACACTTCAGGACATCAGAATGGGCAAACATGTTTGAGTCAGTCCTCAAAAGCACACACAATAAAAGCAGAAACAGACATGCTGTTTCATCAAATGAAAAGCTTCTGCACAGCAAAGAGGAACAACAGAGTGACGAGAAAACCTTACAGAATGGGAGAAAGTATTTCCAAGCTATATATCTGAGATGGGGTTAATAGCTAGAATGTGTAAGAAGCTCAAAAGCAAAACAATCTGGGGTAGGTATTTGGCACGGCTATTAAGATGCCACTTTGGGCTCCTGCATCCCTTATCAGAGTGCCTGGTTTGAATCCCAGCTCCTCTGCTTCCAATATAGCTTCCTGCTAATGTGCAACCTGCAAAGCAGAAAATGATGGCCCAATTACTTGTATCCCTGTCATTCGTGTGGTAGATCTGAATTGAGTTCTGGGCTCCTGACTTTGGCTTGGCCCAGCCCTGCCTGTGGTGCGCATTTGGAAAGTGAATCAGGATGGAAGATCCATTTCTGTATGACTGTTTCTGCCCTTCAAATAACAATGAAAAGTATTTTTTTTAAAAGCAAAATAATCCAATTGAAAAATGAATGGTGGTTCTAAACAGACATTTCTCAAAGGAAGAAATGCAAATGTCCAGGTATGTGAAAAAAAAAAAAACGCCCACATCAGGGGACTGCAAATCAATACTGCAAGGAGATATCACCTCACTCCACTTAGATTGGCTGTTATCAAAATGATGAAAGGTTACAAGTGTTGGCAAGGATGTGGAGAAAAGGAAACTGTTAAACACTGTTGGTGGAGATGTAAATTAGTACAGCTGCACAGAAAACAGTATGGAGGTTCCTTGGAAAACTGAAAATTGATCTACAATATGATCCAGCAGTCCTACTACTGGGTGCATATCTGTCACTGTGACATGTGCATTCCATGTTTATTCACTAATCAAAATAGCCAAGTAATTGGAAATCATCTAACTGCCCATCAACTAATAAATGGATAAAGAAAATGTGGGCCAATTACCTGATGGGATACTAATCATCCATACAAAGGATGAAATCTTGTTATTTTCAACAATGTGGATGGAACTAGAGGTCATCATGTTAAGTGAAATGAGCCAGGTACAGAAATACGAGTCTGTGGGCTCTAAAAAAATTGGGGGTAGAGGCTGAGGAGAATGAGGGATAAGGAAGATTTGGGAAAGGTTAATTAGTGGGCACTACATTAGTTCAGGTGTTCTATTGCACAGAAGGGTGACTATAGATCATAACATGCTGTTTATTCTTATAAAACACTAGAAAGGATTTTGAATGTTTTCATCATAAATTTAATAAATGAAGAAATAAATGTTTTCCTTGATTGACATTTCACAAAGTATATGTGCATGAAAACATGGAACTACATAAATATATACAATTTTTATATATCAGTTTTTAAAAAGCTTAAGAAACATACAAACACAAATGTGAGATATATGTCACATTTGCTTATTGATGAATTCTGGTTGGTATTCAGTTAACAATCAGACCGATATAGCGAATAATTGCAAAAAAAAAAAAAAAAACAGTGTGTAAGAGTGAAATTGACACCCTATGATTTGATTTTTATAGCCCTTAGATACATTTCTGTGGAATAATGGTCTTTCTGCTTTTTACTTGTTGAAGGTTATATTAGTAGTGTACTAAGTGTATGATTATAAGGTAAATTTAAAGTATGTTATCCCAAAAATTGAAGGAGGGAAGTGTCCTTATGTTCTTAGAATTGTAACTTTGAAATATAGGAAATCTGTCCTCTTCATATTAAGGAAAAAACTTCCAGCATTATACTGAACAAAAGAGGTGATGCTGGTCATCCTCTAAAAATTGTTAAAAATGGAGACGCATGCATTAAGCATTTTTGATAGCATGGGAAATTATATAAACATCTTTATCTCTTGTGAAATGAAGAAGCCACCTGAGTATGGTATTTTGGAAATTTTCATTTGAGCCCAATTGTATCACTCACTGGCAATGATGACCAATAATATTATGAAGATTTTCCACTCAGAGTCAGAAGTTTAAAGTTATATAATGTTTCAAGTGAACCTATGACTTTTTTTCTTCACATGCTTTTTTAAACAATCCATTTTTAGATATTTAAAATGCCAAGGCATGCGGCATTAACTATGTATATGCCATTGATTTGGGAATATCTTGAAAATGATGTATACAGGAGTCTGCTTGAGTTTCCTAAAGTTAGTTTGCAGGCTAATTTCATTTTGTTTTGTTGATAAGCTAGTAGATCAAGAAAAATACCTTAGAGTAAAAATTTGATACAATATTTGTGTGGCCATGTTGAAGAAATTGGGAGTTGATGGTAGTAGCAATTTCTGCCAAAGAACCTAAATAATAGCCTAAAAACTCTAAGAATGAATTATCAATGAAAAATCCATATAAATTGATGATTTAGTTGGTGTGTGTGGTGTAAACACAGAGGACATACCTATCCGATGCGATCAGCTGCATTCAGCATGATATAGTCATAGCCACATATATTGGATTAGCCCATGATACAAACTCGAGAGAATGGAATAATGGCTTCAATCAGAAAAGTTTTCTGGGAAAAAGAATCAGACTTTT